TCTTACACTACCTGTGTACTTTTCTATCTAATATCACAATGTGTTTTTCCCTTGCTACACATATTAATTCCATATTCACAGGTTATATGAACTATGTAATGCCTATCACAGTTTGTGTTTATGTGGTAGGTCATTTGGGTTGCACCCGGTGGTGCTCAGGACTTACTCCTGGCTCTACACTTAAGAATCATTCCTGAGGGACCAATTGGAATGCCAAGATTCAAAACTTGGGTCAGCTGTGTGGAAGGCAAGTGCTATACCTATTGCATTATGGCTCAGGCCTCTGGAATAGTCTTTTTATGATAGTAGTTACATATGGTATAAGAGATGTATGTTTACCTAATTAATAGTATTAGTAATCATATATTCTATACTGGGCTGGAGTGATAGCACAGCGATAGGGCATTTGCCTTGTGCGCAGCCAGCCCAGCTGAGCCGGGTTCAATTCCTCCGCCCCTCTCGGAGAGCCCAGCAAGCTACCGAGAGTATCTCTCCTGCAAGACAAAGCCTGGCAAGCTACCCGTGTCGTATTCATCTGCCAAACGCTAAGTCTCAGAATGGAGACTTTACTGGGCCCGCTCGAGCAAATTGATGAACAACAGTGGGAGGACAGTGGACAGTGGATATTCTATACCAAAAGATAGTTTGTAAAAAAGAAACTATTTGATGTACTTTATATTTTTCAGTTTCTGTAAATTTCTGAGGAAGTGACTATGATTATTTTGAAAAGTGTATAGTGCCTTGCACATATGCTTCCCAGGTATTAACTATTAATATATAGAAACTTGCAACAGTTTTCTAGGGAGATAATATTCTTCCCTTTCAGAGACTCCAAGGATTATAAAATCTGGTACTACTCTATCTCCAATAAAAACAAAACTCTGAAGAAAAAAAAGGAATGACACAAAGGTGTTCAATGACTTTGTGATCGAAGCTCAAATATGAAAGTTTTGTTACTGTAAAAAAAAAACATAAAAAGAGAAAATGTGTGCCTCTTAAGGTGGTGGCTAGGGGCTGGAGATGAAGGAACTTGGAAACACTGGTGGAGGAAAGTCAAAACTGGTGGTGGGATTGGTGCTGGAATATTGAACAATTTGTAACTATTTTATTTAATTAATTTATTTAATTCCCTTTCCGCCCCGAGCAGAGCCCCGACAGCTGAAGACCTCCGGGACCCAGCCAGAGCCATGCTGAGACCACTCTGCACACACTTGGATGAGGAGCTGGCAGAGGACTGAGATCTCCAAGCCTGCTCGGTTCGGGACTGGGCCTCCTCCACCCAGCTCCCCCACCTTCCAGTAGCTAGACAGTTACACCCATCAACTGCTGTGTAACCCCATCAATGGTCAGGATCCAGAGACTCTAAAACCAAGCTCCCGGACCTCTTATTCTCTAGTTCTCACTTTCAGAGAACCCAGCAGGCTACTGAGAGTATCATACCCGCCTATATACCTGACTGGGAACACCTGTGAAGGTGTTTAGAGGCTTTCCTAAAAGCTTTCATCCCTCTTGGAGAGCCGGGCAAGCTACTAAGAGTATCCTGCCCACACGGCAGAGCCTGACAAGCTAACCATGGCGTCCTCAATATGTCAAAAACAGTAACAATGAATGATCCTCCTTCTCCTGACCCAGAAGGAGCCCCCAATATGTCATCAGGCTACACTAGCACGTGACAGGGATGAATGGAGACGTTACTGAGCCTGCTCGAGCTAATAGATGAACAGGGTGATAGTGATAGTGATTTGTAACTATGAATAAACTATGTAAATTATGATGTCTTAACAAACTGTAAATCATGAATGTGAATAACTCTGTAAATTATGGTGCCTTAATAAAATAAAAATCTTAAAGATAAAATATAAAATTGAAACCCAAGCACAAAATTTGTAAGTCTACAACTGTGCCTCATGGTGTCTCACTAATAAAAATTAAAAATATATATATAAAACACTTTTGAAAGCTTTTATTAAAAATGAAAAAAATGACTATTTACCACTGTGGAGAAACAATGTTCTTTCTTGAACAAATAATTATTTCTCCTCTCCCCTCAAATTTCTCTGAGTAATTTTCTTTCAATTAAACTGTTTTGCTTCTCTAAATAAAACAAACAAAGGTAATGTCCAGTTTTTAAAACATGTAACCATTTTCCAGATATTGTCCCTCGTTAGTGTTTTATTTTTTTATTATTTAAAATTTGAAATCACTTTTTATTTGGGGGGAGTGAGATGTGTTTGAGGCTGTATTCAGGCATTGCCAAGGGACCATACAGCTCCCAGACTCCACCACTCAAAGCACATGGTCCTGCCCATCGAGCTAGCTCTCAGTCTTAAATCCGAGACATTTTAAATTTGCTGTTTTTACCTATGATCAGGGTAAATAAATTTTTTTATAATTGCAGAAACAAAATTTTCTATTTTTTACCAATAGAAGCACCTATCACTGCAAATGTTAAAAGTATTGGAAAATACCAACACATACAAAAGCTTAGATCATTTCATCACCAAGAATAATATTATAACATTCTAAAACCTAAGACAACAGTACATAAAATGGCATTAGGAAGGAAACATTGTAATTTTATTTAATTTGTTTTCCTTTTCATTCAGATTTCTCTGCTGCTTTTGGTCTAAAAGTATAAATGTATGAGCATTAATAACTTGTGTCAAGAGACTAATACTCTCTATCAAGCACAAAAATTAAAATATTCACCTTGCCAAAAAATTATGATGAGAATCAATGAAATCAATCTAAAACAGAAAAAGGATAAGCAAGATTCCTAAAAGTGAAAACCATTTTCTCTGTCTGACAAGGGAATTTAACAAGGGCAACAGTTGAAAGGTGCTTTGTAGTCCTAAAACTAAACTAGTAGAAGAACTAAAACATGTATTAAAATAGGCCTGCATTTATTCCTATACATATGAATGTTGCAATATCAAGACACTGGACTAAAATCTTAAAGGTTTTTCTCAGTTTGATGGCCAAATTCCATCCTGTAAGTAGTGCATTAGACGCTAATGACATACGATTCCTCACTGACAGATTTAACTGCATCAATAAGGCCTCTCTGTCCATTGCAGCAAATTGATCCTACATGACACTGACAAGGGCAGCCTGCACTTAATGACCTCCATAGCTGAAGGATGGAGATGAAAAATGATTGGAAGTACAAATAAATCTTTGAAAGTTTCCCTGAAACAGGTGTGCTCAAAGTATGACTCCTGATGGATCCTTACAAACATTACTCAGTCCATCAGAATGTCCCACTCTCTGTTCATACTCTTTGGATCTTGAATCAGATTTCCTTTGATTCCAAAACTATGTCCAAGACTATTGAAGTTTTTGCACGAAGATATTATGTAAGCTAACTCTCTTAAAAGTAGATAAGAGTTCTTTAGTATTTATACAGATATGTCACGTATTTTTATTTTCCACCTAGGATTCTTTTCAAACTGATAGCAAGTATTCCTAAATTTTGTTTTTAGTTTCCTCTACTTAGAAAGGGAAATTCAGTATAGGCATTGATTATTTTCTCTTCCTTAATTATCAACAAGTAGACTGTATTTAACCTGCAGAACAATTCCCAAAGCATCAAGTGATGGAGTAATGCTCTTAATAGGTATACTGATGTCCTTTCTTTGAAATCTGAGCAATGCTTTGAGTACACTGAGATTCTGATATATAGCTACTACTTTGGATTCTTTCCCACACATATTTATAGATCCTTTACTCTTATTACTACTTGAATATAAAATTTTAATAGAAAAGCAGAGGCTCCAATTATTCTTAAAAGCTTAACTCTAATAAATATAGAAGGGAAATATAGGAGAGTGAACAAGCAGTACGACTGAAATAGTACAGTTGCATTAGTTATCCTTTTATTTACAAAGTAACTATGGATGTCTCTTAATTGGTCTTATTGCTTTAAGTATCATTTTATACACAAAAAGTAAATTTTGTCACTTATTTTTCAAGATTACCAAGTTAAGCATAGATAATTCTATACTCAAAACTTGTTCTCTATCTTCTCAAATATTCCAGAATAATGGAGGATAAATAGTCCTAGAATTCTAAACTACTAGTTATTAGTATAACAATATGGGTGACATAGGTGAAAGGATTCATTAAAAGCCTATTGATTCTTCTGACTAAATGAAGTCTTAAAAAAACCCCAAGTCTTTATTTTTCTAAATTAAAATCCTATGAAGGAACAAAAATTCATAAAGAAACAAAGAAACTAACGTTTCTTTTCATGAATATCTAGAGAAGTATAGAAAGTGGCTAGATCTGAAAGGCAGGTGTATATTTCATTTTTCAAATTATTATTACTATAGAAATATGACTAATTATGCTAGAGTTTTTAGTGATTTTTCAGTGACAAAGGAAGGTAAATTACATATCAAAATTTCTAATTAAGTTCCATATCTAGTAAAAAAATTAAAAAATATATATGAAGCACATATATCCCAAAAAAGTCTACAGTCCAGCCCTGGGAATGAAACTAAAAGTAGAATTGAAATATGAAGTTTAAGATGATACAATTGTATTTTTGATGGAAAGATTTTAATCATACTTCAATGAAAATTTAAAAATATATATAACACATAGTATAAAATAGTAGGTTCTTTTCATTTGGGGCCACACCGCAGTGTTCAGTCTTTTTCCTAACTCTGGGGTCACTTTGGAAGGCTCAGGGACCACATGGGTTGTCAAGGGTCAAACCCAGGTTGGCCAATATAAGCAAAGCTCTATGCACTGTACTGTACATAGGATACAGTTCTGACTTATAAAGCAGCAAGTTCTAAAATAAATTTGTTTCTCAAGTAAGCCTCCAAAATTTACTTTAAAATTATTAATAATAAGTTAAAATGAAAATTGACAAAATATACCATTTTGTGACACTATATAAGGGTCCACTATCAAAGGGAGACCCCATTTAATACTTTTTATTATGTGCATGTCATGTATACCATAATTTTTTTCAAAAATAAGAAAAATTATACCTGTGCTTTATCTGTAATTGCATTGTCAAGTTGTGACTGTTTGTCATACTGGCTTAAATAATCATTCTTTACTGTAAAGAAAGTATTCTGCAATTTCACGTATTCTTGAGCTAAACGTAGATTTTCTTTCAAGGAATTTCTTTGAATTTCCTAGAAGATAAAGACAAATGTATACATAGCTAAAATAATTGTAATTTTCATTTCAAGTCCAGTCTCTATTATCTAAAGTAGTATAATATTTCTAAATATTTTAGAAAAATAAAACATCAAAAAGGTTGGGGGGGCTTATGTCTTCCTTGAATTGAGTAAGGTTCTTTCTTTCCTGATGTAGGTTTTCTATTGATTAATCAGTCTGACTTTCATCCCTCTTCTTTTCTAGATTTCCCTTTAAAATTAATGCCTTGGGAAGTGTCCAGTCCTAGGAGGCTGAACTAAGCATCCCAGGAGCCTAATTCAGTTTTCCAAGTCCCTTTACTTTTCTCAGGTCTCAGTGTTCATATGGATGAAGAGGATTAGGAGCTTAAATTTCCATCTCCAGGAGGTTAAGAATGACAGTATTAACATAAAGTGCTAGAAACAAAAAAAGACATGAAAGACAAGAAAAGGAAACCCAAATAGTTAATAGTATACTTTAATTATAATGCAGGTTAAATCCACTTCCAAGAGACTTAATAATATCCCAGGACTAAATATACATTTGCTCGAGCGGGCCCAGTAACATCTCCATTGGAGACTTTGTTGTTACTGTGTGTGGCATATCGAATACTCTCGGTAGCTTGCCGGGCTCTCCGAGAGGGGAGGAGGAATCGAACTCGGGTCAGCCATATTGGCTGTGTGCAAGGCAGACGCCCTACCCGCTGTGCTATCGCTCCTGGCAATCTACCGAGAGTATTTGATATGCCAGACACAGTAACAACAAAGTCTCCAATGGAGACGTTACTGGGCCCACTTGAGCAAATCGACGATCAACGGGAGGGCCTTTACCTCGAGCTCGAGCAAATATACATTAAATCTAATATTGACTCTTGTAATACCACCTGTTGGGGCATATTTAACATTGCACATTTGATGTCAATTAAGTTGCTGATTCTTTTTATATTTCAAGCATAATTTTCTTTTTAGCTTCAGAAAGTATATAACCAGTAGCTTTCCACATTTTCAAACCTGTTAGTAAAATTCTCATATAAAGATGTATTCTATGCAAAACCTTCATTCCCTATATTACTTATAGTAGCCAAGTTTTAAAACACATAAATGCGGAACAATCATGATAGTAATGATTGAAGAACAAGATATAAAAATACCATTGTGAAGCAGCAAATTTATTTCTTTGAGGATATTGCCATCACATCAAACCTTTCATTACTAAAGATATATTGCATCAGAATATATATACAGAGAGAAAATGTATCACGATCACAATCATCCTGTTGTTCGTCAATTGCCTCAAGCAGGCACCAGTAACGTCTCCTTAGCCCTAGCCTTGAGATTTTAAAAAGTGCCATATTCAAGGCTCTTTCAAGGTTAGGAGTATGAGACCCATCATTGTTACTGATATTGGGCATATTGGGTACACCACCGGGAGTTTGCCAGACTCTGCTGTGTGGGCAGGTTACATTTGGTAGCCTGTCAGGTTGTCCAAAGTAAGAATGAGATAATAAGATGTCCCATGGCCACAGCTGGGTTTTATAGTCTCTGGGTCTTGGCAATTGATGGGATTACATGGCGCCAGGGGGGCAGTTGGTGGGTGTGACCCCTGCCTACTGGAAGATGGAGGATCTGAGTGGAGGGTGCTTAGCCCCGATCCGAGCAGGCTTGGAGATCTCAGCCCTGGGACCCGCATGCCTTTGTTCCTCTGCTGGTACCTTTATGCATGTGGAGAGTGGTCTCAGCATGGTTGTGGCTGGTTCTGGAGGTCTTCGGCTCCAGACACATGAAGGTAACAGCAGAGGAATAATGACATGAGGGTCCTGGGGCTGAGATCTCCAAACCTGCTCAGATCAGGGTTGAGCATCCTCCACCCAGATCCTCCATCTTCCAGTAGGCAGAGGTCACACCCACCAACTGCCCCCCGGCACCGTGTAATCCCACCAATGGCCAAGACCCAGAGAGTATAAAACCCATCTCCCGGGAGAGAACAGCGCAGAGTCTCCTGCCCCCATGCCTGGCTGTCCTTGCTGGGGCCCCTTAGAGGGGGACGGGTTGATTTTCCCTCCCCACCCTGAGCAGAGCCCCGGCAGCCGAAAACCTCCAGAACCAGCCACAACCATGCTGAGACCACTCTCCACATGCATGAAGGTACCAGCTGAGGAACAAAAGCATGCGGGTCCCAGGGCTGAGATCTCCAAGCCTGCTCAGATTGGGGCTGAGCATCCTCCACCCAGATCCTCCAGCATCCAGTAGGCAGGGGTCACACCTACCAACTGCCCCCCAGCACCGTGTAATCCCATCAATGGCCAAGACCCAGAGACTATAAAACCCAGCTCATGGAAGAGAACAGCGCAGAGTCTCCTGCCCTGGCTCCTGGCTGTCCTCGCGGGGGCCCCTCGGAGGGGGGCGGGTTGAGTTTCCCTTCCCGCCCCGAGCAGAGCCCTGGCAGAGAAAATGTAATTCAGCAGAAAATTGCTGGTACAAATATTTTTCTATTTACAATCTTGAAGATTTATTAAGGTCACCAAATATATTTCTCACAAAATCTGGTAACCATATTGATCTCTAATGATTAATATTATGTCATAGCTGTTCTTCAAAAAGCCAAAATGATGAACTGAGAATGATTTCAAATGTCCTGGTTCTAATTCTAGCATAATGATTTAAAACTTTAGAAACTTCTATCTAATAGATATTTCACTAAGGGGAATAGTATCTGAGTCTTTTTCACTGGTGTAGATATGTTGGAAACAATGGTTAAAATCCTGTTTGCTGTATTAACACTAACATTAAAACCTAATACTCCAGTGATTAACTTGGAACTGATAAATGCTCTACTAGGTGCAGAAAGAAATAATTTTGAGAGGGTTTTGTTTGATTTAAAATAGTGAAACTTAATAACTTAAATATTATATTTCTGAAACAGAGCTCTTTCAGAACCTAGATGTCCACTGGAGACAGAGCTGTAAAAGTTTGCATTATAACTATTTAATGGAAATTAATTGAAAATACATTTGGAAATTTATGCTTTGTTCTCTCTGTAATTCAATTTTATTTTAAAAGTGCATATATTTTCAGTTTTGGCATCATTTTCAATTAAATATACTTTCAATTTCTGATTCTCACCAGTTCTTGGTATACCACAAAGTTTATACTAAGATATCAAATTCCATGGCTAATACCAATGTAATATTGTTACATCAATTATATTTTACATATCATTTTCCAGTAGTAATGAATGGACAGAAGAATTTGGTAATCCACTACCTATTCCTGAAAGTGTAATGAATTTCAAGTTTCTTTAATGTTAAATAATATATTCTACTGACTCTAATTTTTTTATGCTTAACTATTTTTCCAACTCTCAATTCTAATTTGTTTCATTTTAACGAATTATAACATAAAGTCAAATAAAGCAAAGTTGAAAAATAATTCCTAATGAAATATATCTTGGAGAAAATAATGACACTACTGCTAGAAGTTGAATGGCTCTCAAAACAAGATAGCAATAGAAAATACTTAAGAGGAACACTAAAGTCAGACTCAGTGGAATAACAGAGAAGAAAGAAGAAACTAGTAAGAGAAGTATGATTATTTTCAAATTAAAAAAGAAAAACCTATTTTTTTAAGCCACTAAAAAGGGAAAGGAGAAATAGTATAGTGGGAATGAAGTTTGCTTTGTATGCAGCCAACCTGGGTTTGATCCCTGGCAGGGGCACCTGAGCACCATCAAGAGTGATTCCTGAGTGGAGAGTCAGGAGCATTACCCTGAGCATCACCAATGTGGTCCAAAAACCAAAACGAAATAAATTAAAAGTATACTGAAGAAAAATCACACTGCATTCAGAGTAGATTTAAGTAACTGGGTATTATCAGATTTATAAAATTCTTTTATTCATTTATTAACTTTGTTGTTACTGTGTTTGGCATATCGAATACGTCACGGGGAACTTAGTTCATAATCTAGTGCATAGATTTTCAAAGTTGGGCATGCACAAGTCTGAACCCTAGTCAGATTCAGCTCAATTGTGCCAAGCACTAAAACTTGTGGAGAACTGCCAAATATACTTATCCTAGAGAATGTCTAAATCCATCTGAACTGTTTTTAAATATTTAAGGAGAGAGAGAGTAATAGGGAAAAAGTTGATCTAAACAGTTTAGAAACATAGATATGATGAAATATTTGTAGTATACATATATGCATAGAAATGTACATTACATTTAACACTTATTATATTAATATGGTCTCAATGCCTATGAATAAACTTATAGTAATCTTTCATCCAGACCCTCAGTTACCCTCATACAGCTATTTGAATACAATTCAAAAGGCAGAAGGGACTGGGAGAGAGTGCCCAATGAACTGTGGTGATGTTATTGGTATTTGGTGGTGACTGGAATGAGGCAATATATTCTTTAAACTGTCACTGTCACTGTCCTCCCATTGTTCATCAATTTGCTTGAGCGGGCCCAGTAACACCTCCATTGGAGACTTTGTTGTTACTGTGTTTGGCATATCAAATACATCACGTGTAGCTTGCCAGGCTCTGCCACGTGGGCGAGATACTCTCGGTAGCTTGCCGGGCTCTACAAGAGGGGTGGAGGAATCGAACTCGGGTCGGCCATGTTAGCTGCGTGCAAGGCAAACGCCCTACCGCTTTGCTATTGCTCCAGCCTGAGGCATGAAATATATCCTTAAAACATGTAGTCAATTTCAATTAAAAAATACCATAAATACTTGGATGGACAACCCCAGAGGTGCTTAGGGCTTACTCTGGACTCAGTGCTCCTGGCTGGCTCAATGAACCACTTGGGCTGTTTGCAAGGCAAGTACCTTACCCACTGTACTCTTGCCCTCCTAAATTCATTTTCAAATACAGATTTATATTCATGCTTTTCTTATTATTTATTGGGTTTAGGGCCACACAGGAGTTCTGGCTCTGCATCAGGAATCACTTCTGGCAGTGCTCTTGGGACCATGTGGGATGCTGTGAATTGAA